CCAAGCACCCCCGGAACCGACAATACTTATTCCAGGCGACCGCCAATGCACCGACAGCAAACTATGACGGCTTCTCAAGTTCGCCGTGGACTCGTCGCAAGAGCTACCCAAGACTCAACTTTGGCTGTCATCCCGGCGGAGGCGTTCCGAAGGCTTACGAAGAAGTTCCCAAAGGCTTCTGCCCATATAGTACAAGGTATGGCTTTGCCTCATGAAAAAGACTCGGGAGACATTATTGAACGTTCCGTTCTCTTACCCCCTCGACAGTCATCCTCACCCGCTTTTCGCGTGTCACGTTCAACGCCGCTCATAAATACCTTGGCCTCACCACGGAAGTGCTACGAACGGAGAAAGCTATCAACGAGCTTGCCTGTCACCCCCTTCCAGCGTCTTTCTACGAAGGCGGAGGGATGCACAACCTGCGGAACAAATTTGCACCAGACGATGGTGAAGCTGTGGAGACTGAGGACGATACCATGACTTCTGCCAGTACCGTCGGCCTTGACTCGAGCAGCACAATTGGGTTGGACTCAGAAGACGACTATTTCGGGAGCAATATCGGGTCTTGGAGAGATTCCCCAGTCGCTTTGAATCCAACGACTCCCGGTCCTTCTTCCTCCCGCCGACACGGGCGTTCGCGTTCGCGTGGGTCCACCTTTGACAGCAGAACGGGCCCGGTGATACGAGGAGCCTCGGTAGCACCTTCAACTTCGCTTACCAAGTCCATGAGTGGGAAGGCCCTCTCCCATATGGCAGTCATGGCGGGTGATTTGCATTCCAGCACCAGCTCTGCTATCGACAATACCATCGACACCTACCGACCACGATCCCGCGCTACGCCCAAAACACCTGGCCTTCCCATCAGTGTGCCGCCTCTCCCAACCCCAATCCGCGAAGCTGCCCGGCTACCTCCTCAAAGGGACGCTTCAACCGGAAGCGAGACAACTTCCGCTCTCCCAGCCGCTCAGGCTGACATCAATCTGCGGGATGAAGTTATGGCGTGTATTGCCAAGTCCATCGGTCTGCTTCAACCACCCATATCAGACACGCCTTCAGGAGACGCCTCGCCGGTTTTGGTTCCCTTTGACACTCGTTCGCAGTCCGTAACGTCAAGTAGGCGAGGTGGAGGCGCATTGCTCCCGAATTCGTTCTCTACACTGTCTTTCTTAGATGCGGTCGCGGACGACGGATCGTCAGTGACGGGCACGGCGTCGATCCTTGGCAATCATCCTTATGCGACTGGCCTAGACAATGAAGTCGAAATCCTCTGCTTCGCCGCCGGAAGTACACTCGTCCGAGCAGGAGAAAGAAACGCCGGTAAGGTTTTATTAATAGGATATTTCGATGATGGATTGATGACGGGGCTTCTCGGAAAACCAGGTCTGTTCTATGTTATAGATGGTTTCTTGGATGTTTCCTTGCCCGTGGAGGAACATGTCAATCCAAACACGGCAAGCTCGTCAAACGGGGCCCCGGTCCGAACAGGCTCACGTCAATCCATAAGCCAGCCGAAGTCCAAGGCGTCGGTGACTCAAGGCGTTCGATGGGGCGAAGGCCCACAGTCTGCCAAAGTCAAAAACGGAACGTCCTCCCATGCTACCAAAGGTGTTTTGCATACCAAGGTTTCGAAGCATTTGTTCACCGTCAAACCCGGTGGGATCGCTGGGTATTTGGGTACGTAACGTGTTGACTTATAGCTGAAGATTTCTGGGCCGCTGACCGAATGCCACCATAGCTTCGCTTAGTGGAACGCCCTCGTACGTTGAGATCAAAGCGAAGGTTGACACTTATGTCGGGTTCCTGCCACACCATGCTATGGAGCGTCTAATCGAGCGGCGGCCTATTGTTTTGCTGACATTGTCAAAACGCCTGATTTCGCTGCTTTCTCCTCTGGGTAAGCTGGTCTAATATATTGAACCGTATTGACCTAACCAAGCACTTGTGTTTGCAGTGCTTCATATCGATTCTTCACTGGACTGGATGCAGGTCAACGCGGGACAGGTGTTGTGGCGTCCTGGTGATCCAAGCGACAGCTTTTATATCGTCATAAACGGTCGACTAAGAGCTCTGGCGGAGAAAGAAGATGGAGGTGTTATCGGGGAATACGGTCAAGGAGATACTGTTGGCGAACTAGACGTCATAACTCGGTCAAATCGAACCAGCACTTTGCATGCCATCCGTGACACCGAACTTGCAAGGATGCCTCAGACCTTATTCAATGCGATATCTGTGAGGTACGTTGGATAGCCACCCACGGGACTAGCACCACTCTAACTAGTGCACCACACAGGCACCCACAAGCAGCTGTTCAGTAGGTGTACTCTGCCATATGAGAGCCCAAAGATTACTGATCTTCTTGTTCAGGCTGCTCCGTATGGTTGCCTCAAGAGTGCGAAACCTCGCCCAACCCGCCAATCCTGCTTCTTCCAAAGTCAGAACCACGGTAGTGAATAACAACAACTTCAATCTCAAGACGGTCGCAATCCTGCCCGCCGCTCGAAATGTTCCAGTTTCCGCATTCGCTAAAAAGTTGCACTCCGCGCTGGAGGAGATCGGAGCATCCACCGTATACCTCAATCAGGCCTCTATGATGAACCATGTCGGTCGCCATGCGTTTACACGGATGGGTAAACTCAAAGTGGCCGGCTGGCTAGCCGATCAAGAGCAACGGTATCGAATTGTGCTGTATGTGGCCGACTCGCCAGTCAGCGCCCCGTGGACCCAGACCTGCATCCGACAGGTAAGTTTTGAGATACGACTTGAAAGCCATCACCTAAATATAACCTTCTGAAATTCCTGACTCAATAAGGCCGATTATATCATGATTGTGGGCATGGGAGATGATCCTAGCATTGGGGAGTATGAACGATTGCTCTTGACCACCAAGACGACCGCGAGGAAGGAACTAGTCCTCTTACACCCTGATCGAAGCGTACCGCAGGGGTCTACCAGAGAATGGCTAAAGGTAACGCTATTTACCTTGGGTGATATTGAATGTGTTGCTGACCTAAATCATCAGATCCGTCCATGGGTTCATGCGTATCATCATGTTGAGCTGCCCGTACGTACCCAGGCGTTGCCCGCTTCCGATTCGCTAATAATCACCCGACTACAGGGGATTGTTAAACAAACCGCTCACCCTGCTCCTGAAGATCCCGCCGCGGTGAAAGCGTTCAAAGACATCAAAAACATCGTCCAAACGGAGATCAAGAAATATCGGGGCTACACAGCAACCCCGCATTCCAGACGGCCAGATCACCTCAGCGACTTTGCCAGGCTTGCACGAAGAATATGTGGAAAATCCATCGGTCTTGTGCTTGGCGGAGGTGGAGCAAGGGGAGTGGCCCACCTAGTACGTCTGCCCAACCTATCGTGTTTCAGCCGGCTGACTTCAAGTTCCACTTAGGGCATTCTTCGAGCACTTGAAGAGCGTAATATCCCAATCGATCATATCGGAGGCACGAGCATCGGGGCCCTTGTTGGAGGTCTTTATGCAAGAGAAGCCAACGTTATTCAATGTTCTGCTCGGGTAAAGGCATTCGGCTCTCGAATGGGCAACATCTGGCGCCTGCTGTCTGATGTCACCTGGCCTGTTGTTGCTTATACTACGGTACGGTCAACTCGTTAATTAAAGACGTTTTGCTGACCGGGGTCTTTGCAACAGGGTCACGAGTTCAATCGGGGTATTTTTAAGGTATGTGGTGGGTCAGATTTGGGCTGGGCCTTCGCTAAAGCGAACGTTCAAGGCATTCGGCGCTCTCCACATCGAGGACATGTGGCTCCCGTTTTTCTGCAACTCGACCAATATCTTGACGTCACAGATGGACATTCACGATACAGGCTACGCCTGGAGATATGTCCGTGAGTAATACCCGCGTTGAGAAGTGCATAGTAGTTTGCTAAAGCGGACACTAGGAGCCTCAATGACACTTGTTGGCCTGCTACCGCCGATATGTGATAACGGTAATATGTTAGTTGATGGAGGCTATTGTACGTCGGCTCTTCTTGCTATGGTTGATCTCTCGCTAACTCATCAATTCAAAAAGTGGATAACCTTCCCGTGAGCCCCCAGCTAATCTCACCACGCTCGATTCGCTAACGGAAATTGGGAATAGGTATCCACAATGAGGTCTATGGGACCAAACACTATCATCGCAGTTGACGTGGGCTCTGTGAGTAACTCCAATACCTCTTACTTAACGTGCGCTGACATTGGTCTAGCTGGACGATAACTCGCCGCGCAACTTCGGGGATACGGTCTCTGGAATATGGATTGCAATCAACCGGTGGAATCCGTTCTCAAGTGTTCGCTACATTCCTCCGATCACCGAAATACAGAGTCGGCTTGCCTAGTAAATGAGCGAACCCTTATAAGTACTGTCCTTCCGCTCACAGGCCCCTGATTGCTTAGTGTGTCGAGTATCACTAGTCTTGAAGAAGCGAAAAATACGCCTGGGTGCTACTATATTCAACCTCCCGTTCAAGGGGTAAGCACCACTTCGTGTTTCTAAATCTTATGATCAGTGAAGCTCAAGTTCGGGTGATAGTATGGGACTCTCCAGTTCAATAAATATGACGAACTTGTCGACATCGGGTATAAGGCCGCCTTAGAGCTGATTGACAAGTGGAAGGAAGAGGGTCGTCTACCCAGTGGATATGAGGATGACTTCAGAATGGTGGACAAACTCAGCAAGAAGAGGAAAGGTCGAAGTCTACGACGCAACTCAGTTTAGATCCGTTAGCTGTAGAATCCATTCATTTGCGTGTTCGAGCACGGATAGTGTATTCACAACTGAGCAATGAGACCAATTTCTGTCGACGTTTACGTTTACGTGCAAGAGGTTGGAGGGGCCTCCCATAACGCACCTCAAGCGCCGCGTCTATTACAGGGCCAAATGTCCCTACTCACTTCAGGAGTCGCCGTGATGGTTTGTGAATCATTTGATTATACCAAGGGCTATATGCATATAGACTTTTTTTTTGAGTTGAGTAATCAACAAGCTTTGATGGGGTAGTGGTAACCTGGATCGTTGCCATTGAACAAGTTCTCTGAAATTCGATCCGCCGGGGGTTCGATTCCCCCTCAAAGCAAAGCTTAATCTTTTTTGTTTTCCTTTCTCCTACTTGTGCCAGATATAACGTCCACGCGCAGATCCCGCACCTTGACGCTTTTTGGTGATTTGGATGGGAGATTTTTGCTCCCTGCTCATCCCAGCTTCGAACGAAAGATGCTCGGTTGATTCTATATCACCAGATAAATGCTCTCTTTAATAAATCCATTTCGCAAAAATAAACTATGGCACAAAAAGCGAGGAGGGAAACAACTGCACTAGGCAGAACACAACGTTGTACACAGCGAAACGAACGAGGTATCCAGAGCGTCGGGAGGGTATGGCCACTATATCACACCTGGTCAATTAATGGCCTAGCAAGCGGAGGATAAGGTAAAGCGTGGAACCAAAGAAGCGCTGCAAAGGAAGATTGAGTATGCAAGGACGCCACGCGTACGAATCATCGTCACTCACCACTGCGCTCAGCCCAGCTCTGATTCACCAGAAATATCAGACAGTCAGTCCACAAGGACAGCTAGCGAGGACAAGCACACTTACAGGGAGTAGAAAAGGAATATAAGGTAGGGATTGAATGGGCCCTTTGCAGAATGTCCTGAAACATCGGCTACCCACTGTAGGTTGTTGTCAGACGGTGCCAAAACTACAGCGCTCGCTCACGAATTACTTACGTCGACGAAGCTTGTGGATGTGAAAGCTAAGATCATGGCCATGTTGGTACCCACCCATAGCAGTACAACGTTTGTTCGGGTGTTTCGGTCATGATCGCTTTGCTTTGTAGCAGCGTCGCGCTTGTCGTTCTGTGGGGGTGGCCTCTGACGTAAAGAGTCCCGACTGGCTGCCCATAGCCCATCGACATCTTCCCGAGCAGTCGGTAGTTTGACTTCCATCATTTCCTTGCCGTCGTCCCCCTTGACCTTCTTCGCAGAACCGAGATCCTTGGCAGCTCCGTTATCACCTTTCGTTCCCCAGCCGACGTCGTGCTGTAGGACAGAGGATAAAGTGAGGGACGGCTTCTGAGAATGAAAGAGGGCAGACATACCAAGTTGCACATAGCGTAGAGCACTAATGACGAACATTAGCACTGGGAACGACATACTCGGAATATCCGGGGCTTACTTAGAATGTTGACGTCTGTAAAGAGGGACGATTAGTACATGTTGCTTGTTTCGAGTGCGCGTGGCTCAACTCACAGCTCGGAAGCAGGAACATATACTAGTAGGGCAATATGATTGTCAGCTAGGTAAAAGTATGGAGGTCTTTGAAGACGTGAGGCGCACCTCTGTAGGAAAATAACAATCGCGGTCAGTACCCGAATCGCCACGCGAAAAGTGGCGTCACTCACGAAGGAACGAAGTGAACATGTGCCAGGGTTCAAAATGGATGAAGGACGCGAAGAAATACAAGCCATACGTGGCTAGCAGGGAGATGGCCTAGAAGAGGTCGTCTCTCAGCATTGATTTACTCAGAGGACAGATAAAAAGACCCACAATGTCGCGGAAAGTTGAATTGCTTAGTAACCTGCAGTGAATGTGGCTTAGCTCGGACCACGAAACGGAAAGTAGAAGTTTGGCCTACTCTTGCCAATTGGACCAGCCGTCAAGGGTATGTGGAACGGATAGGTAGACGGTCCATCCTGCGCACCAAAGGGTGCTAAGCAGAAGACGCCGGTTAGTGCATAAAACGGAAGAGGACCGGATATCACGTACACGACGTTACAAAGGCCGAACAGTATGATTGCCGTGACATATGTCCACTTTGAACCCTACGATGGAAAGTGGTCAGTTCGTCCGAAAAACCTCACGCCAAAGTAGGACTGACTTGAGGTCGATTTCCGAGAGAGCAAATCAAAACGACGAAGATCAAACCAATGTAGAGCTGCGAGATTGGGTGTTTTGATTAGTTCATACGACTCGGAAAATTAGGATGAGATTCTAGCCAACCTTGAGAATAAGTTCGAAGACGATTTTTCCTGCGCCTTTGCTTAGGAAGTTGAAGGCGTCGTTGCTATCTTGGGTAGCAGATTGGACCAACTAGAAGAAGTTTGGCACGAGATGAGGAGTGGCCTCAAATAGAATAATTTGGCGGCTGCTTACGAAGAAAAAGGCCAAGTAGAAATTGGCAAGCGACGTCCAAGCGAAAAGCATCTGCAATAACCAAGTTTTCATGATCACGAATCTTTAATCGTCCCGCAAGACAGCTTACCTGAATAGCGTTGTAAATGAACTCGAACTGAAGTTCACAGAATTTATGTCAGCGCTCGATGATCAGGGACAGATGGTTAAAAATATAGGTACCTGGAGCACGAGCTTGCGGAAGAAGCCTTGGCCAGATGACCATATCCTAAAGAAGAACACCGTGGCATGCAGGGCAGCGAAGAATGAACCGTTGAGCCATCGTCGACGCTGGGAAATGAATTCGGCCACGGTGGTGGGCACGTCCGTGGCGGCCTTAGCCGACTTGACATATCGTAGCCTATACGACAGTCCTATCGTTAGGAAGAATAGACGTTGGCTGAGATCATGATGATACTCACGTCCACGCTTCTCGTTTCTTCGTCACAATTTCGAAACACAGGATACGATCCTCGGCGAGGTACATGTTTTTCTCTAACAGCGTCGGCAATTCGCGCGTCAGTCCTTCAACTTTGTGCGGCAGGGGGACGGCTAAACGAACCAAACAAGCCAGCTTCGGTTGCGCCATCGCCATGCATTGTCTCGCCCTTGAAGTAGGAGGCCAGAGGTCCAGTTCCATTTGGCAAATTCTGCAACGCCTTGTAACGGTATGCTGAGAAAGCTCCGGGAAGCACAGAGATATAGCCGAAAACGCTCTAGAGTTGGAGGAGTACTGATGAGAGAAATTCACAGGCTTGCGTGAGGGCGAATCTCACCTCTAGAGGCTTATCAAGGATGTTCGACATCTTGTACTGCAGGATGAGTGCGGTCACATCAGTTTGTTATTCACCAACAGGAATCGAACTTTTATTTACCTCAAAGTTTTGAGACGCGGCCAACGGGCTTGTCAACAGAAGGGAGCAACCCTTGCCAGTGTCAACGCAGATCCTACGTAAATGCCCCGGTCAGCTGGGCAGCCAGGTAGATACTAGAAGTGGACTGTGACGTACTCTCCGCAAGCACCACCAACACCAGGATGCTTGTCGAAACCTAACGTAGCGATTTCAGTATTAGCTTACATCCTATTCGGATGACAATTAGGCTAATTCACATTTCCATAGCTCGTAAATCGAGGTTCCCGTGGGTTTGGTACCCACATCGAGCAGGATGCAGACTAGAATTGAGGCCAATCGAGTTCAGCTGCCACACCAATTCCAAGAATGGTCGAGCTCACCGTTCGGGTTCAGAAGGGGACCGAATGCGTTGAAGAACCAGCGATGGCTGTTGAGCTTCTTCTTGTTTTGTTCCTTCAAACAGAACAGGATTTGAATCGGACAGGCACCCGATGAGACTTCACCGGTCGGAGAGACAACAACTTGGGAAGTGAATCTATCGGACCGTAGGTCAATTCATCGTTCAGCAGCAGGAAAATTAAGGCTCTGGCGCACTCGAAAATGTGGGCAGTCACATCCTTGCCACCGACAGTGTCCTTTGGAATGCCTTCTTGGTAGCATCCCATCTATGTCGCGCAACAGCATGAGATTGATCCCAGAGAACAGAATGGTCAAGGGAAATCTTACCAGGGACAAAACTTTGAGCGTCCTTTGATTGATCTTGTTACGGCCATCGGATACGACACACACGACGACCTAAGTAAAACAGCCCTTAGCGGTCTACTCTTGGCTCGGCTGCGGAAACGGGAGGCGTTACCTTCTTCCAGCCATCGGCACCCCAAGTCTTCGAGTTGGTCCGACTGCAAAGGTACGCAACATTCTTGATGACGGCATTCATGGTCTTGCAGAATAGGTCCTCGTCTTCATTGTACATAGTCATGACGATGAACAGCTCGGTCTTCCGGCCGTAGAGGTACTGCCGGAGCGAGTACTTGCTCCGAACGAAATCATCTGGGTCGCATGTTGCTGCCGTGTACCTCATCTTGGTCATTTCGTCGCTCGTCGCTCCATTGACGACAATGTGCGATGGCACAGCGACATCGAGGACAAGGTTTCCTTCTTGCAGGGCGACTTTGCGGACAGACTAAAGGGGTAACGTGTTTTGTTGTAAACAAAGGAAGCGGACCTCAATCAGCCTCGCGCCTCGGGAAAATTGGAGGAAGGCTAGCAACAGAAGCTCGAAAATTACACGACTTACCCGTCGCTTCATCATCTTTTCCCTTGCCATGGAAAATCCAGCAAGACTCGGGTCTCTCGGGCTACCTTGCGGTCTCTCGGGGTAAGCATAGGTACCGCGATTGGGCACGTTCCCATACTGAGGCTGAGGCGACGGTGGGTAGTCCGCGCCATACTGGTTTGGTTGATATGGTAATGCGGGGACTGGAGGGGCGTTGAGGGAGACTTGGCTCATCTCGTACTGGGATTTGTTCCCGTTGTACGTGTTGTACGACTTGGCGCTGCGAGAGTCCCATTCAGAACCCGGGCCACTTTGCTGATAGTCGGACTGGTGGCCGTGATGGGACTGAGAGTATGTTGACTGGGCATCGAAAGGGTTTGATTCTTGACGGTACGATTGTTGGTATTGATCGGTGGGTTGAGCGTAACCTTGCTGGGTACCAGCCCCTGCACATTTTCAAAAGCCAGAACACTTCAGAAAACACAATAAAGCATATCCCGCAAGAGATGTCGAACCAGCGTATCCATTGTATTGTGGTGAACGATTGTTGTAATATGGGTCAGCCATGGACGGCTATCTAGAGAGCGGATGGGTCGAAGTGGGGGGCTTGCCAACGAATCTTTTGCAGACTCGGCGTTGCGGTGGGTTTGAAGCCTTGAAGGAGGGTATCGAGAGAGTGTGTTGTAGGATAAAGAGTGGAAGTGAGAGGGCGATGGAGAGGGAAAGGACAGGGTAGGAAGGACCGGTTATTGGTTGTCTGAGACGGGGGTGAGGGAAC